AGGCCTTATGAGGAGAGGCTATGGGACCTGAACCTGTTCAGCCTCCAGAAGAGAAGGCTGAGGGGGGATCTAGTGGCCTGTTACAAACTAGTCAGGGGGGATCAGCGGGCACTGGGAAAGTCCCTGTTCCCCCAAGCACTGCCAGGAGTGACCAGGAATAACGGTTACAAGCTGGTAAAGGATAGATTTAGGCTAGATATCAGGAGGCGTTAGTTCACGGTCAGGGCGGCTACGATCTGGAACCAAATTCCAAGAGAAGTGGTACTGGCCCCTACCCTGGGGGTCTTTAAGAGGAGGTTGGATGAACGCCTTGGTGGGGTCGTTTGACCCCAGTACTCTTTCCTGCCATGGCAGGGTGTCAGACTAGATGATCTACTCAGGTCCCTTCCGACCCTAGAAACTATGAAACTATAAGGTTTTTGTTAGCATTTCACATAACATCCTCGTAACTAAGCTAAGGAAATACAATCTAAATCAGGGTGAGCAATATATGGCTTGCAGGCTGGATCCAGCCTGTGAAGGGATTCCATCTGGTCCATGGCAGGTCCTCAGCCCCAACCGGCCCAGGCACAGGGGGGGCAGCCCAAGTCGTGGCACGTGCAGCTGATCCTACTGCCCCCAGGTGCATGATGGGATTGGGGTAGCATAGCAGTCAGACTTGGCTTTCTGGCAGCCCTTGCGGTGGTGGCTTGCTGCCTGGTTGCTGCTGCCAGTCCTCCCTGCACCCATGGAGAGTGGTCTATAACCCCCACGGGCAGGATGTGCTCAGCTGGACAGATGGAATGGGGCCACAGGCAAGTAGGAAGCAGTACCCAAGAGCAGGATGGACAGGCAGGGGCCAAGATCATGGGGTGGTGACAGCATGGGGTTGGGGCCCAGGGCAAAGCCACAATCCACTCTCTGCATGTCCTTGCCTGCAGAACCAGCTCCCATCTCAGGGGTGTGCAGGGAGCAGATCATCACTTTTCCCCAGGCCCCAGCCCCATACTGTCACCACCTCACGATCCTGTCTCTGCCCATTCATTCTACTCTCGGATGCCATTCCCTGCCTGCAGCCCCATTTTATCCACCTGGCCAAGCACGCCCTGCCCATGGGGGTCCTAAGCCATGAAAACCCTGCCCACTCTGTCTGGTTGCCCTAGTGCCAGGTGCAGGGCAGACAGGGCCCAGAGCTGGATAGGATCAAATTCTCCCTCCCCCTCCACCCTGCAACAGCTCACTCAAACTCCTTAAGTGTTTCTCCAGCCCAAATAGTTACCCACCCCTGTTCCAGATAACACTACTCTAAAGTGGGTGAAACTACTCCAGGCATAATCCTCAATGGGTTGAAGGAGCTATCAAGTGGTATTCCCTAAAGGTCCCTCCAGTATCTTTAGTGACTGGGAGGACAGGATAGGGTGAATGCTTAATAGAATTTACAGATCATATCAATCTCAATGGTGTCCGGCAGACCTGCTGGAACATGGAATTAGGATTCAATATGGCATTGAAAACACATATGAAGTAAGTCAGCTGATGTTAAATAAGGACAAATGAAAGTACTGTATTTAGGTTGGAACAATCAAAGGTGCATACACAGACTGGAAATAATGATCTCAGTTACACTACTACAGAATAAGAACTGGGGGTTACAGTATACTGCAAGTTTAATATGAGTCAATGTGCAGTTGCAAAAAAGCAATAGGATCCCAAGATATATTAACAGTAGGGTTGCATGCAAGCCATAAGGAGTTATTCTTCCACTCTGTATTCAGCAATAGTGAGGCCTCACTTGAAATAATGTCTAGTTTTAGGCAGTGCATTTCAAGACAGGCAAGGAAAAACTGGAAAGTGCTTAGCAAAGAGTGAAGATGATTAGGGGTCCAGAAAGCATGCTTACAAAGTTGGAAGAACTGGGACTACTTAGTCTGGTGATGAGCAAACTGGACAGGGATTTTAAGTCCTCAGATAGAAAAGAGTTGTAAAGATGATAGGGATCAACTGTTGTGTCTGTCCGTATGGGACAGGTCAAGAAACAATTGGTTTAAACTGCAATAAGGAAGACACTGTATATTAGGAAGAACTTCCTAATAATGGCATAGTTGAACGATACAAGAGATTGCCTAGAGAGGTTGCAGTTCTTCCCCCTTAACTTTTAAGTGCAGCATAGACAAATCCTTGACTAGTATGGTTTAGGATGGGAATGATCCTGCTTTGAGGTGAGAATTGGACTAGATGATCTTCTGAGATTCCTTCCAACCCTATCTTGCTATGACTTAGATTTTGTTCAATAAAACTGGTTATGCAGTTGTTAATATGAAAATGGACCACAAAATATTTAATATAGCAATGCACATTTACCTTTTGTAGATATCTTTAGTATGACCCTACAAAACAAAGCCTGGTACTTAACATTACCTTGCATTTACTGTTGGTTATAAGAGCAAGCACACGGGTAGGTACTATGGAGTAGCTGGGGTGCTGTAAGCTTGTATCCCAGCTTGCCTCACTATGGTATGAGCAGCTTGTTCATGTGCTGCCATAAGACACTATGACTAATTCTCTGGCTCCTGAGATGGTTTCCAGCAGTGGGAACTATGAAGAGGTATAGACTACAACTGGAGACTTGTCTTCAGGGCACAGAACTGTTCAGCAGGAGTAACAGTACCTTTTATTAGCTGAAGGGCACAAAAGCCAACATGCATACTCTAGGAATTCACATTTCTATTTGAAACAGACTGGAAATCCTAACTAGTATCTAGTGTGCAGTACAAGTCAGAAGGGCACATCCCCTCTTTGGCTGGATGCCATCAAGTTCTGGGGCTGGTGCCAGCAACAGCCCTAGCTCTACACCTTTTAGGGTTCAGCAGTGAGTTAGCAGACTTTCTGTGCAGAAATGTGCTAATCAGCCTCAGTAAGTCACTCAAATCCATCCTACATGTAATATTTTTTCAGGGGGAGACTCCCACCATAGTTTTATTTGCTACTGAGTAGAAAATACTTGTACAAATACAAAATATTATGGTGACGTAACAGCTAAAAATAACTATGTGCTGCTGGCATGGCACAGTAACAGTTTTCTAAAGGAAGTACTAAATGATGGTGCAGTAACAACGATACCATAGGAGCATGTGTACGTGTGCCCAGAATGAGCAAGATCAGACGTGACAAAGTGAGTCCTCGTGATAGCAGCATATTGGCCAGCATAGTTTTGAGTGTCATATCTACTGTAGGTGTCTCAGTGGCCTCCAGGACACTTGTCTTGTCTGGATATCCCAGAACCAGAGTCTGGTACTGAATCCAGTTCTTGAGTTAGTTCACCTGTTTGTCTGCCTGGGCTATGCTGGCAGGTACTGCTCCCAAGAGGTTTAGAAAAGTCTTGTGCTGATCAGGAAAACTTCCACCATGAAAACTTACTCTTCCAAATGGAAACAATTTTCTACTCAATATGTTTAGAGTACTAATATGCCAATTGAGAGCCCACTACCAAAGATCTTAAGCTACAGCCAGCTGCTGCAAATGCACGACTAGTAGTAAACTTCCCTTAGTCCACTTTGTCGCATTTCCAGCCTGTCATGTTTCAATATAATTTAAATTTGGTTCTCTCACAATGTTATCAATATTCCTCAAGGCCTTTCATCTTGCTTACTCTCTGATCAAAGAACTTGTTGGGCCCATATGAACACCCTTCCCAAACTTATAGGGCCTCCTTTTGAACCAGTATCTGAATGTTCTACATAAATGATTTACCATCAAGTTGTATTATACTTGGTGCAGAAAGCTGCAGAGCTCCAAAGTCCTGTAAGTAGACTTAAACAGTATTCTGCAAGAATAATCTGGCAATGAAACTGCATCCCAAATTTATCTTTAAAGGTGACTGTCAGACCCTATCAGTTTCTACCTCATCACTACAGACATGAGACATCTTCAGAGCTTTTCCTGTTACATTTGAGGGATCATGCTGCTTTAAGTTTTCTCCCACCTTTTACAGCCATGTTTGGTACACTGAAAAACCAGCCCATCTCACTGCAGAAAATTTCAAATTCAGTCACACAATCTATTTCTCCTCTATTTCTGAACATCGGGAAATATTCCACCAGAGCACAAGTAGCATCTTCTATCGGCTTCACGGATGGTGCGTTAAGCAAATGTGTACCTGTGATGCAGCTGCATGGGGCAATTTTCACTATAACTTTGTTAAATATTATACATTTGACAAAGTAGTTAGGTTGGATACCAAGGTTGGAAGAGCAGTACCAGTACAGCTGCTTTTCTAACATTGATGATATGCTTGCTGGTCACCTGACACGTTCTAAGAAAGGTTACTCACCAGTAACCATGATTCCTTGAGCTGTCATCAACATAGCTCCCATAACTTGCCCTCTATCCCCACTTTGCAATCCTTTGCACCAGGAGGACTATAGGTGCACTGAGGAAGGGTAATGGCATCCTACTATTTATGCCCATGTATGAAAGTGTGAAGTAGTACAGAGCATATACAGTGATGCTGGGCTCGTAAGAAAAAAAATCAGTCTTGCACATGAGATAAATGCATGCCTGCATTGAATTCCACACTAACTACAGCATTTGGAAGAACTGCATTTAAAGTAACTGTTCTTTTTTATCTTTTATGCTATTAATGATTTTTTGAGTTATTTATTAGAAAACTTGATTAGGCCTCTAGCATTGTCAACAGTTCAGTCTAAATAATGTTTTTAATCAAGGTTTCATTTTTGCATAGGTGAACAATTCTCAACTTCACCAATATGATTCTTTACAGGTTCTTTTGCTACAGCTTCCTGTCTAATCTGTAAATACAAAGTTGACTGTGAAGCTGTTCGAGGAGACATTTTTAATCAGGTAAAAGAATACTTTAACTGGTCATGACTTACTAATAAATTTTACAAAAGCAGCCTCATTTGCTTAAAACATCACATTTTTTTAAAGTTGTACATAACATGTTTACTGAAATATTTCATGAAATTGAAGGCACTTTAGGAAAGAATTTATATTTCAAGGTCTCCACGCAGCACTTGTAACCCAAATGGAAACCAGACCATGAAACAAATTAATTGTAGTAGTCTTACTATATAATTAATTGAGCAAGATAGAAATATCATGAATGGTAAGACGTACGTTGGATTTAACATTTGTGAAATTTTTAATCTAAAATCATAAGAAAGAAACAAAGGTAAGAAATTCTTCATATTATTTTGTTTCCCTATAAATGTCCAATCAGCATCTTGTTCAGTCTAAATTTAAATAATTTTTAAATGAGCAATGGGTGATTTCATATGGTAACATTGTTAAAACTGCAGTAATATTCTTTCCTTGAAATACTGTGTCTAATGTACATTTTCAAAGGCTTCTTTGAAATTATTGTCAGACTTCTAATACTCTGGATTGTGAGAGAGACCCCACGTAAGCAGGGACACGTTCAAATAATCAAGGAGAACTCTCCCATATTTGTTCTCCTGGCAAAGAAACTTACCCAGAGCCATGTGCACAGCTGTTCAAATGTTGAGGCCATGAAGAGTGGAAAGCTTCTAGTGCTGACACTATTCAGCCAGGGGGTGGGCCCTGTGCATGCATCTCAGGATGCTTTGCAGGCTCCCTTAGTCTGCCAGGCAACAGATTGCAGGAGTGCATAGGGCAGCCTCGATTGCCCGGCCCAGACTGCCCATAGCCAGCCTGTGTTTCCCTGCAGCAAAAAGTGAAGGTGATGTGTTTTTCTCCCCTCCTGGAGCAGCAGAATCCAGTAAGCAACACGTTGTCTTCCTGGGAGGTGGGGAGGGGGGAAGTTGGAGGACTGTTCTTTTCTGAGAGAAGCCACAGCATGTACAGAGATCTGTTCGCCCAGGAGAAACTGTCCTGGGAGTGATTTCACCCTGGTTGTTCCCATGTCATTTTTCTCCTGGAGCTGCCCTTTTTACTTCAGGATAAAAAGTCTGAACATCTGTACACTCATGGGAGAGGGGCAACTCTCTGAGGAAAAACTGTCTGTATGAGGACTCTTCTTTCTTCCCTTCCCTCCAAGACGCAGAGAAAATGCTGAGTTAGGCAGGAAGATCTGGAAGATGTAAACAAGGGCCTCATACAGACATTGTTTCTCCTAAGAAACCGTGAGTGTACAGATGTTCAAGCTTTTTCTACTGGGTCCAGGAAAAAAATAACTTGGGAACAAACAGGGTTATTCAGTCCCGACAGAATTCCTCCTGGGAGAACAAATCTCTGTACATGCTGTGGATTATCAGAAGAAAACAGTACTCCAACATCCCCACTTCCCACCCCTTTTCCACCCTCCCCAGGGAGACTGTGTGGGGTTGCTGGACTTCACTGCTCTAGCAAGAAGCAGAACACACACCCTTCACAATCCTCACCTTGTGCTGCAGAGAAACACAAGCTGACCATGGGCTGCCGTATGCACTTCTACAACCTGTCCCCAAGCAGAATACGGGAGACTGCACATCATTCTGAGATGTATGCACAGGACCTCCACCCCCTGGTTGCACAGTGTCAGCACAGCAAGCTCTTCGTTCTTCATGGCCGCAGCATTGGAATATCTGTACACACGACTCTAGGTAAATGTCTCTAGCTGCAGAACAAACCTGAGAGAATTCTCCCTGATTATTTGAACGTGTTTGCAGCTAAGTTCTGTTCCGAAATAGAGTCCAAACCTAGTAGATGGGACTTTTCTGTCTATTAAAGGGTGGCTTTGAATGTTCTGTCACAGATGCATAGAACGGTTTCCAAAAATGGCTGTTAAAATAAGAAATGCAGGCTAAGAGAGACAAGCTTTCCAAATCAATTTAAAATATAATGGCTGAAGAAAGATAAGATTCTTTCAAAACATTACTAAAATACAAATTTAAAAGTGACTAGATTTAAAAAAAGAAAGAGTTCAGATATAACTGACCTTTACCTGGTGACTGTAGCGCTCTTTAAGGGCTGGGTATATGGTTTCTGGTCAACATCTTGTAATACTTTAAAATATGAAATATCCATGGAACAAATCTGGTTTATATTGCTATTAGGAATGTTACCTGTAAATAACATTTCTGCTGTATGCATGTCTGTTTTTCAACTTTGAATTTTCTTTTCCTATTTCACTGAGGCTGCATGTAGCTTAATTTTTGTCTGCATGTAGTTGCATAAAGCTTTATTTCTTTTGATTTGGTTGCCAATTCTCCATGTACTTTCCTCCCTCTTGAACATTTACATCATTACAAAGCCTGATCTTCTGATAAAACAAACTTCCTCTTTGGCTCTTCCCATTTCTACAGGTCTTTTTAAAAAAACCACTACTACAGTTTCACCACTTTCTTCTTAACCCTGTCTTCCTATAACCCAGGGGTGAGCAAAATGTGGCCCAGGGGCCAGATGTGGCCTGCCAGGCCCCTAAAAATTTTAGAAAATTAATATTTATCTGCTCCTGGCTGCCTGTCATGCAGCCCTCAATGGCTTGCCAAAACTCAGTAAGTGGACCTCCACCCAAAAGAATTGCCTGCCCCTGCTATAACCTGCCTGTAGTTTAAATGGTATCTTAGGAAGTATACCTAGAGAAAACAGGCATATT